CAAAATCCAAAATTACATTCAACCACGAGTCTAACCATACTAATTTTACTTAATTCTGACATCAACTCGACCCTCAAATCTTCAAATTAAACCAAGAGGGTTTTCTAATCTTTCCAACTTAATTCACACATTAAATGTTCAAAACAACTATGGATTCGGGTAATTTGACCAATAATGAGTTAAGAACGCTTACCCCTTTGTTTTTCTTGAAAATCTCCCAAACATCGTCTCTTCCCGAGCTCCAATCCGTCAAAAATGAAAAATGGGATAAAGTCCCATTTTAAGAAATTAAACTCACTGCCGAGCCTTTTCTTCTTCACGAACGCGGTGAGTGCCTCGCGTTCGCGAAGCACAAAATTGATCCCATCCAAATTCCTCCTTCGCGAACGCGACATCCCCCTCGCGTTCGCGAAGCACAAAGTGCCTCTGCCTCGATGCCTTCTACTCGAACACGTACAACAATTGCCTGGGGTCCTCAGTTGTTTCCTCTCTTCTTCGCGAACGCGTAACACCTCTCGCGTTCGCGATGCACACCCTGTCCACCCTTCGCGAATGCGTCCTTCTCTTCGCGAATGCGAAGAGAAAATATTGCCAGCTTCTCAGTTCTTCTTCGCGAATGCGAGGCTCCACTCGCTAACTCGATGAAGGAAACCAGATGGTGCATCAGAAAAATTCTATCAAAGTTTCAAGTCCAAAATCCAACCCGTTAACCATCCGAAATTTATCCGAGGCCCCCGGGACCTCACCCAAACATACCGTCAAGTTCCATAACAACATATGAACTTAGTCGAACCCTCAAATCACCTCAAATAACGCTAAAACCACGAATCATACTCCAAATTCANCCAACATATAAAACTGGATAGAAAATGCCAAGATTATTTGACTACAAAATTTCACGAAAATAATTACGCCACTATTTTTATGGTGCACGCCCACACGCCCCTCACCTAGCATGTGTGTCAACTCCAAACATTTCACATAATACGTATATTCAGGGTTCATATCCTCAGCTGCAAGATTAAAAAAGTTACTTACCTCAAACAAGACGAATCCAATGTCGGGCAAACTAAACAATGCTTCAGAAATTCCAGTATACGCGTATCAACTTCCGAACAGCTCGAATCTAGTCACTATTAATTTGATTCAGTCCACACTATTATAGGAATTAATTCCATATCAAAATACTAATATTTTTCACAAAAAAGCAGAAATTACACCCCAAATATTACCCGTGGGACCCACGTCTCGGAACCCGACAAAAATTACAAAATCCAAAATTACATTCAACCACGAGTCTAACCATACCAATTTTACTTAATTCTGACATCAACTCGACCCTCAAATCTTCAAATTAAACCAAGAGGGTTTTCTAATCTTTCCAACTTAATTCACCCATTGAATGTTCAAAACAACTATGGATTCGGGTAATTTGACCAATAATGAGTTAAGAACGCTTACCCTTTTATTTTTCTTGAAAATCTCCCAAACATCGCCTCTTCCCGAGCTCCAATCCGTCAAAAATGGAAAATGGGACGAAGTCTTAATTTCTCAAAATGGGACGAAGTCCCATTTTGAGAAATTAAACTCACTGCCCAGCCTTTTCTTTTTCGCGAATGCGGTGAGTACCTCGCGTTCGCGAAACACAAAATTGATCCCATCCAAATTCCTTCTTCGCGAACGCGACATCCCCTCATGTTCGTGAAGCACAAAGTGCCTCTGCCTCGATGCCTTCTACGCGAATGCGTAGAACAATTGCCTGGGGTCCTCAGTTGTTTCCTCTCTTCTTCGCGAGCGCGCAACACCTCTCGCGTTCGCGATGCACACCCTGTCCACCCTTCGCGAATGCGTCCTTCTCTTCACGAATGCGAAGAGAAAATATTGCCAGCCTCTCAGTTCTTCTTCGCGAACGCGAGGCTCCACTTGCGAACGCGAGGCTCCATTCGCGAACACGATGAAGGAAACCAGATGGTGCATCAGAAAAATTCCAGCAAAGTTCCAAGTCCAAAATCCAACCCGTTAACCATCCGAAATTTACCCGAGGCCCCCGGGACCTCACCCAAACATATCGTCAAGTCCCATAACAACATACAAACTTAGTCGAACCCTCAAATCACCTCAAATAACGCTAAAACCACGAATCATACTCCAAATTCAAGTATAATGAACTTTAAAATTTTAAGTTTTCACAAACGACGCCGGAACCTATCAAATCAAGTCCGATTGGCCTCAAATTTTGCACACAAGTCATAAATGATATAACGAACCTATTAAAATTTTCAGAATCGAATTTCGACCCCGATATCAAAATGTCAATCCCCCAGTCAAACTTCCCAAAAATTCGACTTTTGCCATTTCAAACCCAATTCCACTACGGACCTCCAAATAATTTCTCACACATGCTCCTAAGTTCAAAATCACCATACGGAGCTACTGAAATCATCAAAATTTGAATCCGAGATCGTTTATACATAGATCAATATCCGGTCGACTTTTTCAACTTAAACTTTCTATTTAAGAGACTAAGTGTCTCATTTCACTCTGAATTCTCTCCGGACCCGAACTAACTAACCCGATAAGTCATACAACAGCTATAAAGCACAATCGGAGCAGTAAATAGAAAAACGGGAGTGTAATGCTCAAAACGACCGACCGGATCGTTACATTAAGTTTCCTCCAAAGACCTACGGTTTGAACTATATAATATGTGAAATTTAAGCTCCAACGAAAGTATCAAATAAGAACCTTTCATATCGTTACATTGGAGTCAGAGTATTCTACTTTTAGGTTATTCTTATAAATATATCCTAATATGAAGATTATAAAAATCTTTTTTTACCTATACAAAGATATTGAAAAGAAGGAACTCAAATGATACTAATTGACGTAATAAAAGTATGGTCAAAGATATGTTTCTTTTTTGTCATGCATAGAGGAATCTGTAAAAAGGTGGAAACATATTTGCCAAATATCTACTAACATACAATTATAGGGGACCACACCTTAGACCACCAAAAGAAAAGAAGAAAAATGGGGGATCATATCTTACGTGGGAAGAATCGATAAAGTTCTAGACAAGTGTAGAACCATTCCTTCCAGAAGCTTCTATGTTTACACTATATAATTATCACATCTTCCCTTAGCATTCTCTGCAATCCAAAGCGAAAAAAACCAACTCAAATACACCAAAACCAAAATCTCATAATATCTCAAAATTGAAACACACTCAGTTAATCAAAGAGGAGGAAGATGGATTNTGTCAACCCCCCAGTCAAACTTTCCAAAAATTCGACTTTCGCCATTTCAAACCCAATTCCACTACGGACCTCCAAATAATTTTTCACACACGCTCCTAAGTCCAAAATCACCATACGGAGCTACTGAAATCATCAAAATTCGAATCTGAGATCGTTTACACATAGATCAATATCCGGTCGACTTTTCCAACTTAAGATTTCTATTTAAGAGACTAAGTGTCTCATTTCACTCTGAATTCTCTCCGGACCCGAACTAACTAACCCGATAAGTCATACAACAGCTATAAAGCATAATCGGAGCAGTAAATAGAGGAACGGAACTGTAATGCTCAAAACGACCGACCGAATAGTTACATTAAGTTTTCTCCAAAGACCTACGGTTTGAACGGTATAATATATGAAATTTAAGCTCCAACGAAAGTATCAAATAAGAACCTTTCATATCGTTCATTGGAGTCAGAGTATTCTACTTTTAGGTTATTCTTATAAATATATTCTAATATGAAGATTATAAAAATCTTTCTTTACCTATACAAAGATATAGAAAAGAAGGAACTCAAATGATACTAATTGATGTAATAAAAGTATGGTCAAAGATATGTTTCTTTTTTGTGAGGAATCTGTAAAAAGGTAGAAACATATTTGCCAAATATCTACAAACATACAATTATAGGGGACGAAGAATCGATAAAGTTCTACACAAGTGTACAACATGTGACAATATAAGGAACAGAAGCTCCTAGAATATGTCACCTTCTGCTTCCATTTCCTTCCAGAAGCTTCTATGTTTACACTATATAATTATCACATCTTCCCTTAGCATTCTCTGCAAAACCAAAGCGAAAAAAACCAACTCAAATACACCAAAATCAAAATATCATAATATCTCAAAATTGAAACACACTCAGTTAATCGAAGAGGAGGAAGATGGATTTCAGGCTAATGGGTATCGACACACCACTTCTCCACACTCTCCAGCACTTCATGGACGCCGCCGGTGAAGATTCCGACAAGTCCATTAACGCCCCGTCAAGGAACTATGTACGTGACGCTAAGGCAATGGCTGCAACACCAGCCGACGTGAAAGAGTACCAAAATTCCTATGTGTTCATCGTGGACATGCCGGGGTTGAAATCTGGAGATATTAAAGTGCAGGTGGAAGATGACAATGTGCTGCTGATCAGTGGAGAAAGGAAGAGGGAAGAAGAGAAAGAAGGGGCTAAGTATATTAGAATGGAGAGAAGGATTGGGAAATTCATGAGGAAATTTACGTTGCCGGAGAATGCGAATACTGATGCAATTTCTGCTGTTTGTCGAGATGGGGTTTTGACTGTGATTGTTCAGAAGTTGCCTCCACCTGAGCCTAAGAAACCCAAAACTATCGAGGTTAAAATTGCATGAGATATTGGACTAGTTATTAATTACTCTGTTTTGTGGACACGGGAATTGGNTGAGGTTAAAATTGCATGAGATATTTGATAGTATGACGTAGTAATAAAGATGGTAGAGAACTAGGAGTTGTTACATTTTCCTCTCTACTTTAAATTGTCCATGTTTTATTTAGTATGAAGGAACTAAATGTCTGGGTATGCTATCTCTTGTATACTGCAAGTGAAATGCTTCTATTAATATCCAGTTTTGTTTCATCGATTGCTATTAATATTTTCAATATATAGCGTGCGTGCAATTTCTTTTTATCTGAACAAGGATCAAATAATCTTCTTTTCCTTTATGATGACAGTTGGAGAAATTTGTATAACAAGGTTTTGAAAGTAACTTGTTTTAAGAAACGCAGGCCTTTGTTGAGCATTAGCGACAAGGCATCTTCAAGATTCTACAAAATCAATTGCAATCCGAAACAGTAACATCTGGAATTATAGCGAGGGTACACGCCATGAATATTATTATAGAGTTTAACAATACGTATACACATACAGAACTGATGTTTTATACCTCAATACCACATAAGAGGGGTGATTTGTGTTGTGTTCAATTTTTTGCGTGCACAGATTATCGAAGGACCTGGTTCTTTTATGCGTTCTAACTATTACTATTGCGAAATAGTAAGTACATAAAATAAACACAGAGATTTTTACGTGGAAAACACCTGGCTCAAAAGGTAAAAAAATCATAACCTACTTCCTAGTAGGATTTTTCCAAAACTCTTTACTAAATCAGTGAGCCAAAATAGCATTTACAAAAACTCTTTTGTAAACCTAGGATTACCTCTAACCCTTTGTGGCAAACTAGCCTCTAGCTATTTGCGACAAACTTCAAGTTAACTCTAACTTGAAAACACAAAGTACATATTACAGACGCTTCTAGATAAAGCTAAAAAGGTACAAGTTAAAACCACCTACTACAAATAACTAGACTAAAAGACAACATTTAGAATTGGTTCTTCTAGCTGGTTCAAGTAGCATCAGATTCGCACACTCAAATATTACTCGAACTGCTTGCAAAATTACCTCGCTATTTTGCTCTCAATTCTTGCTTAACTTCTGCTTTTGTACGTAACTGTACAATAAGAACATTCTACAATATATAGTAATTAGTAGATAAATAGTTAACTAGAATCCTAATGCTACTCTTCCTTGGTGGAAGAGTTCTAGTTAAACTCAACTCCTAAATTCTTCCTTATCTTAGATATTGTTCTTACTGAATAAGGAGTCCTTCTCCTTATCGTTTTTGCAATCTTTTCGATCAGGAGATATCTCATTCTACCAGAATACGCTTATCTCCTGCATGTGCAACTCATGTGCCTTTACTCTGTCGGTGTCTATGTCTGCCAGTTATGGACCTGGTTCATATCTGAGTTTCTTTGTCAATCTTCAAAACTATTCTCTTTCTTGGGCCAACAAATTCCCCATTTTTGATGATGACAAACTTTGTGCGTCCATCAGCTTAGGCATGTTTCGACTTAATCCAACATTGACACATATTAGAGTATTAAGCACTTATCATAAAGAACCGGGGTCATTTAGGTTATAAATATTACTTGTTCAGAGCACATTTTTCCCCTTTGGGCATCATCGAAAAGTTGTAAAAAGATGTGTGAGTCCCAGATTTTATAAAAATTACTCATGGCCACTGGGGCAACTGCAAATGCATTCATGGATCAATCATCAGTAATCAACTAAGAATTTAAACTATCAAAGAAATAGAGACAGTTTATGAGAACAAGAGCAACAAATTTCATTGATAGAAAGTACGGTTCTTCCACAATCCATACAATGAAACAAAAACATTTAAAGCATGAGCAACAAAAAAGAAAAAGTCTTGAATCTGAGTCACTGAATTTCTAGGCAGACTAGGCAACTAAGGCTTGGAAGAACTAGGGGCTTGGGTTTTGGCTTGGAGAAGATTCAACATATCGTGAAGAATTCCCTCATTCTTCTCCCTTTCCTTTGTAAGCTCAACTTTGAGAACATCCCTCTCAGATTCAACCTCAGCCAAACGAGTCTTCAGCCATGCTATCTCAGCATCCTTTACCCCACTCTCCTGCACTAGGGCTCTGACCTTGCTGTTTACAAGTTTCCTTTTCGATGAACCAGGTTCATTGGGGACGACATGGATATCATAATCACAAGCAAGAAGAGTATTGATCCCAAAATAGTCTTTTCTTGTGTCCATCCCCGCCTTCTTCAATGGCACCTTATAATGAGCAAGTACATAAGTGAGGATGAAACCATAAGGAATGGCATGGGCTTTGGAGTCATTGACAGCTCTGTCCAAAAGCTGAATGATGAACCCAGGCCAGTTTATTTGCCTCCCACTGTCCATACACTCCATCAAGACCAAGTCCATGTAATTTACAATATGCCTACTTTCCTGCCTTGGCAACACGCACTTGTTGATGAATTCAAAGATCACCTTGTGGGGTGGCTTCATTTCACTCTTATAGACTGCCTTAGGCTCACTCTCTTCTTCATTATCACAAAATTTCCTTGTGATAGGCAGGGCAGTTGGAAGAGAATCCAGACTGGGCCATTTCTGCCTAGTATAGTCATCATAGCCTTCAGAGGATATGCCAAGGATTTCACCCAGTTCTTTAGCATCAAAAGAGATTTGGACCCCTTTCACTAGGCTGGTGACTCTGCCTTCCTTGGCCTCATCATTGGTCATGAATTCCACAATCTCATTCCTATCCAGTCTCCCATCCACCTGAAGGACCATGTCTTTCCATCTCTGTATCTCAAGCTTCTCCAGCAGCAAAATTATTCCTTCTTCTTCCAAGTCCTTCAACAATCTCCCCTTCAAAATTGTTCTTTTACCAAACTTTGTCAGCTTGTCCTTCCTACCATTAGACACATCCTCCTCTTCACCACTCCAATTATCTTCTTCAGTAATCTTCACTTGCTTGGCTTTCACTGCAGACCTGGTTCGCTTAGCCAAGATAGAGGGTTCAGCAGACTTAGAAACAGATGAATACTTCTTTGAGAAAGTCTTGGCTTTCTTTGGCTTAGGGGTCTGAACCTCTACCTCTGCCACATTTTCACTTTGATGGACCAGGTCCATCTCATCCAACTCAACAACCTTAATAGGCTCAACCGCATTTTCTTTCCCTTTATCCACTCTTTTCTTCTTACTCTCCTCTAAAGCTCTCTGCAACTCCTCCTCACTCTGTTTTAGCTTGCTCCTTGTAGTTCTTCCTCTTGGAAGAGGAATATCAGAGGTCTCAGAAGGAGCAACTTTCCGTTTCTTGTTGGCTCTTCCTGTCCCAGAGGTTGTAGCTTTAGGAGTTCTTTTCTTCTTGGGTTGGTAACTATCACTTAACCTTTTCAACAAATCAGCCAAGGTTTCCTCAGCAGATGAACCAGGTTCGTCTGCTTGCTTTCCAAGATTTACTAGCCCTTTAGCGGTTTCTCCTTATCCACTCCCCCATGTGTGCCTGCCACCTTCTTTCTCCTTCTCTGGTTCAACTCCACAAACAACCATTCTAACAGATTCAGAGGTGGGTGAAGAACCAACCACTTCTTTCCCTTTTCCCTTCTCTTCACTCCGTACTCCCTCTCTCTCTTTTTCTTTTTTAATTTTGTTTTTACCACCTCTCCTTCTTTTCTCAAGCATTTCCATATCTATCACAGATCCAACCAGGATGAACCTAGTTTCTAAATTTTTAGCACTCTCAAAAATAACCTCAGATGAAGGATTTGGGACAGAAGTTACCTGTTCATAATCGGAAGACCCAGTTTTTCCCCCTCAGTCGCTGATTTAAAGGAATCACTCGAACTTTGTGAGTTTTGGGCTTGGCTTGCTTGAATCTGGGCATTTAATTTTTGAGATAAAGCACCGCTGGCCACTGTTTTTCTAGCAAGCATTTTGACTCTCATTTTTCTAGGTTGGGGGATAGAACTAGGTTGAGGGGTTGTAGAGGAAGAGGAAGGAGTAGGGGGTGGAGGAGTGCCAGGGTTATTCCAGGGGTTAGACATTTTGGTTATGGTTTTGTGATGAAGGAAAAAAGCTTGGATTGAATTCGAAGGCAAGGAGAGAAGAAAGGGTTTCGACGGTTTTGTTTTTCAAAAATAATGAAGAGTTTGCAGAGTTGATGAGGGATTTAAAGGAGAAGTGTAATTAATACACAACTTTAGCTTTTTGTGGTCAATTAGAAGTCTAATCACTCTGCAGTTTTTCAGTTTGGAATGATGGTTACAGCTCCCCTAGAATCTAGGTGTTTTAATTCGGTGAGGATTCTTTAGTTGAAACGGAACTGGTTCAAATTTTTATTGGATAGGCTTTGGAAGATTTTGGACTTGGGTAGAGTTTTGCTCATGATTTAAATATTAGTATTTCAAAATGTGCATAGCGTAGAACACATACCTCGTTTTTCAGATGAACCAGCACTGATGAACCAGGTTCTTCACTAAGAATCCTCTCAGCCATGTCTCAATTTGCAAAAATAGAGAAAATTTCACTAGAGACCAGTGATTCATATTAAAACATGGAATAGGAGTATACTATTTACAATATGAGACAGAGCAACAATTAATCTGGTTATTTACACAAGTTTCATATTTTCTAACCAATTTTTTTTTTTCATTCTTTTTTTTTCATGTACAAAGATCTGAACTGGTTCACTTAGGCGATCTTAATCATCCCTAATTCTAACCTGTTCCTTTCAAAGTGCTCTCTACTTAGTGCTTTTATAAAGATGTCAGCAATCTATTTATCAGTAGCACAAACCTCTATAGTGATCAATCCCTTCTCATAATTGTCCCTTAAAAAGTGATGTCTAACATCTATGTG